TGATTGACAGGTCTCTACCAGAGACGTATACGATGTCTCTACGTCACGCCTCCTCAGTCCAAATATGGTCACTTCCTGTTCACTGGTTACAAAATGGCGATGGCCAAAATACCAAACTCGCTGCTTCAAAACATCAGTCCACAAACCAATGAGAGACAAACCATAATTTACCATATGAACATCATGCTGTATTGAAGAAGACTTGCAGAGCTTGTGACTAAGAGGTTTTTATTATTTTCCAGGTACTTTGAGGTGACAGATGGTTTTGATCACATCCCGAGGGCTTTATTCCAGATGTTAAATGCCACGACCCTCCTCAACTCTAAGGTCAAGCTCATCAATCACGCAGGAGGCCGCGGAGTGACGGTAACATTCCAGGACGGGCGTAGCTCGGGCTCCCTGACCAACCTGACGGCGGACTACGCCCTGGTCACGGCTTCGGCCAAGGCTGCCATCTTCATCGACTTCCAGCCGCCTCTCTCCGCGGACAAGACGGAGGCCCTGCGCTCTGTCCACTACGCCAGCACCACCAAGGTGATACTCAGCTTCTCGGAGCGGTTCTGGGAGAAAGAGGGCATCAGAGGCGGGAAGAGCATCACGGACCGGCCGTCCCGCTTCATCTTCTACCCGAGCCACGGCTTCCCCGGCACGGCGGCGGGCGCCCTGCTGGCGTCCTACACCTGCTCCGACGATTCCACCCTCTTCCAAGGGGTGAGCGAAGACGAGCTGATGGCCGTGGTCCTGGAGGACTTGGTGAAGATCCACGGGGAGTACATCAGGGCCCTGTGGACGGGCGGCCTGGTGAAGAAGTGGGGCTTGGATCCGTACAGTCTGGGAGCTTTCGCCCTGTTCACGCCCTACCAGCAGGGTCAGTACGCCAGGGAGCTGTTCCAGAGCGAGGGACGGCTGCACTTTGCAGGAGAACACACCGCCACGCCGCACGGGTGGATCGAAACCGCCATGAAGTCTGCACTCAGGGCCGCGAGGAATATTAATAACCTCACTGTTTAGATTTTATGAATCCGTTCCTTCGTGATCCGTCTAATAGAATTCGTCTGATGTGTTGTTTTGGTCGTACATCTTGTGGATACCGGTGTATCAGTGTGCACCTCCTTCCGATATGATGTGTATTTTTGTGTTTTGTACATATTTATTGAGTTCGGTATAGATTCTGATGAGACTCCACAAAGCGTAGCGTGAATACCAGTTTAATGATCATCCCCGTGGTGATTTTACCGTTCACATGATGCATGCAGAGGACGCGCCACGATGTTAACGCTGAATAAAGAGCAGAAACTATTATCTTCAGCTCTGATAAATGTGCTTTTTTATTTTTTATGAAACAATTCAGTTTGGTCTAAAAAAATGTCAGAAAATTGTGGCGAAAGTGTCCAAGGTGGTGTCTGCTAAATGTTTTGTCCAAAATGGCAGAATAGTCAGTCTAGTGACAATTAACTTATTTAATTATTTAATAAATATTTGGCATTTTTTGCTTGATAAGTGACTCACATGATTTATTAGTTATCTATTAATTGTCTTATCAATTCAACTCTACTCTGAGTATTGTGTAAAACTGTGTATTTAAACAGCAAAAATACTTGCTTTTGTTTTTAAAAACCTTGATGAATCATGGATGGAGTACCTGACTTTTTAACAGGACGTCTTAAAATCTACATTTGAGTAAATATTTTGCAGCCAAATCAAATAGTTTACAGGATATATGTTTACAGGTCTTTGTTTCTTTATAATACATTTAATACTTTCCTCATTTCTTTACAGGGTTTGTATAAAGGTAATAAAGTAGTCCATGAATATGAAATATGAGTTTACAGATAATTGTAATTCTTCCTCTTTATTGATTTTGGTTTCTGGCGTTTTGCTGTTTACACTTGTCTTTTTGATTCTTCGCGGTTCTTTTGTTTGTTCGCCCTCTGGCCTTTTGGAAAATAATGCAACATCAGCATAAACACCTTTGTGCGTAATTGTAGCCCTCGTGTCGTCTGTTGTTGTGCAATGTGTAAACAAAGCTTCAGCCAGCTACATCAGTGTCACATTCATATCTATACATCAGTATCATCCGTCTAATAATGTTAATAATAAACAATACTTTGGTTTTTGAGTTTGCAAGAAATGTGTTTTAAGGCAGTTGCAGACACACCTGGTGGAGATCTGCACTCTGACTTTCTGGTTTATCATTTAATAAATATTTATATGAAAATATATACCATGTCGTTGCAGTTGTCTTTTTCTAAATAATCACTTTATCTTTATACCTTTTCTCTAGCCCGTGGAGTTTTATACTGAGAAGACAGAAATGACAAATCCAAACTTTTCACTGAACCCAGATCTGTGGTGAGCAGGCGACCTGCTAACCAGTCGCCACCATAGAGAGGTTAAGTCCCGCCCTTTACGATTGACCACCATGGGACCTTAATTCAGAAAAATATACTTAGTCGATAGCAAGAAACAAATAATTATCCATTCATGTTTGAATTGTACCATGAACTACAAGTTTGTCAATTTAAAAGATAATTTTGCACGTCAAGATAGTCGCATTTTGCTGCAACACTGTTGACATACAAGACTGAAAATACGTAATTAAAATGTCACTCAAAAGTTGCTAAATCGACATCCCTCTTTTCCACAACCAGTGAACAGGAAGTGAGCATATCTGGACTGAGGAGTGACATAGAGACGCCGTATACGTCTCTGGTAGAGACCTGTCAATCACTGTGTAGCCCCGCCCTAAAGCGTCCCCTGCTTTATGGGCTGTTTGACTCTAAATGGACCATAATGTACT